CGCTGGTTTCTGTTAATTATAGTATGTGTTAGGAGATGCTTTCATGAGGGATGGGGATGTAAGTATAGTGTTGTATGTGTAGTGGTATGTGTACATGTGCGTTTGCTGCGTAAGAAAAAAATTACTAAACTAACCAAAAAAAACTAAATTGAGACTCAAATGTGAGAACAAATAGATAGGGATTAATAAATAATGAAAATCATAACGAAACTTACAAAATAAGTACAAGAGGATATTAATTAGTTATAAATTTTAAAATTACTAAATAAAGAAATTTATAATTGAGACTTACAATCCTAGTTTAACTACTTATTAATTTTCAACTCTCCCATCTATTGTATTATTAAGACAGTTTTGAAAAAAACAAAACACCACGCCAACCAATAAGTGATTCCGGGCAATCAATTCTATCCGCGTGTGTAGGGCAGGAATTTTTATATTAATCCGAGAAAAAGACAAAATATCTACCATTAGATTGTGGTTGCATCTAATTATTGATCGATATAATTATGTGCAAAACAAAATTACATCCATAGAAATAAGGGAAAAGTCAACATACCCACTAAACTTTAGATGGAAGTTTGTCTAGCACCTTAAGCTTTAAAACCGGAAATCTAACCACCTAAACTTTTCTATACCATCCATACTACCCTCTAAGTTGGTTTTGCATACTTCGAAATCTTAAACTAACAACTTTGAATCTAATATAACATATTTGCATATCATCAGTTGTAAGTCATCAATTTATTATCCTTGAATAGTGATATCATACTATTATTATGTTGGTACTTCTTTATTAATGAGAGCTAATAAGGTGTAAGTTGAGATTTTAATATATATATATATATATATATATATATATATATATATATATATATATGTCCAATGTATATGTCACATGATCAAACTCATCCAATTTATATATAAATTAGATAAAAATTCCTATTCAAAACCATCTTAGGGTGGTATACAAACGGTATTGTAAAAGTTTAGGTGTTGAATGTGCGGTTTAAATTTTATGGTGCTAGACGGATTTCCATATAAAGGTTAGGGATTATTTGGACTTTTTTTCTCAAAATAAAAGGAAGAGTTGTATATAAAAAGGAATGCAAGTGGATATCATAATACGATCCGGACTATGAGGCCTTTAGCCGATTGGAAAACAAAAGGACAGGGACCAGTTGAAAAAATTGAGGTCCTTCCAATTGGAAAAATTACGCATGTGGGATGCCGATTGGACATGTGACCAAGGAGCAGGGAGGCAGTGGTTGCCATGAGAGAGTAAGCCGAGGAGCAATAAATGATTAGAATGGTAGTGGCGGTATCTGAAATACTATAAAATACAACCACAACTACAACTGATTTGATTTCAATAATCCCAATGAAGATGAAAGAGTAGGGGGTGATGGATAAGCCGTAAAGGCGTAGGGTCGCGGTGGTTGTCTGGACTTCTATAAAGTAAAGAAAGAATCACACGATAATCAGGTTCGACCAATAAAATTTTAATGATAATAAAGCAGGGAGGAGTGCAATGGTCAAGCCATAAAAAAGTAGGGTCATAATATTTGATTAGAATTTAAAAAAACTGTAAAAAAAAAAGGAAATCGGCGAGACAACGGACATCAGATCCGATTTTTTTAAAGGTGGATTAATATAAAAGCCATATAGGGCCAATAAGCAAGTAAAGAGACATTTAAGGAGTAAGGGATGATGGCGGGTGTGAATTTTAAAATTTATAAAATTGAAAACCCTGTGATCATTAGGTTTGATTTTTATAATTCATAAGACAACGGCATGACTATTTAACAAATTTTAAAGAAAATTTGTGTAAAAAGATTAGATATAATTTTTTATAAGTGCTAGACCCTGCTAGTTTTATTTTAAGACAGTTTACTAGACATAGACATATACTACCTACCTAGGACGAATTTTTCAGGATTTAATGGCTTTGTGCTTTCAGTGGTAGGCGACGTACCCGTCGACAGCGTGACGCCTATGGTGACTTCGTCAATCTCTAGGATGGAATTGCCGACCCAGTCTTCAAAGATGCTCGTAGAGGTAGAGTTTGTGTGCGTTCGTTCATATAAGTGAGTGTGCGTGCGTTGTGAGTGTCTGTGCGTTGTACGGTGTATTTGTTAAAAAAATATATGTAGTACTTTTTTTTTTGACGCCATATGCAGCGTCAGGATTATTAAACATCCATTTTATGGCTCGAGATATTCCAACGATAATCACGGCGATTAATTAGCGCGCGCGAGATCTCCCACGATGACGCACGCCAGGTGGAAGTCGCGCTTGCTCACACCAGTACGACCACGAGTAACCAACCCCACCCGCCGCACTCGCCGCACCGGTGACGCGCCGCGGCGGCGCGTCAGCACGAGCACGTCCTCCTCGAACGGCGCGTGCCCGCTCACCCTGCCCGGCCACCCCGCCGCCGCGGCCTCGCCGTCCACCTCCCGCTCCAGCTCCTCCAGCCTCTCCTCCGTGAACCGGTATGCGCCGGCGCCGTGCACCGCCACCGTCGTCCATCCTCGCGTCCCCGGCGAGCACCCCTCTGCCATGGCCGCCGAACGCCACGAGCGAAGGGACCACGTCGACGCGCAGCGCCTTCCTCGCCGCCGCCGGCCCGCCCGTCATCGCCGTCGTCGTCGGTTTTGTATTGAGTATGAATAGGGTTTTTAGCTCAGTTTTACAGTTGTAAGTTTGCTCGAAAATTGCCCCAAGTTTGCTCGAAACTCCTCTGTTTTTACTCTGCTCTGAATTTCTCCTCTCAGTTCTTCACCACTGTTGCTGTTTGTGCCGTGCCGGACGTGTGCAGTCTGCACACAAGGTGTTCGATGAGGGGATTTCTTCGCCAACAGCACCGGCGGGAACTCCTCCGCCGGAGCGTAGCCGGCCACCGTGAAGAACACGCCGACGACGTGCTTCCCCTCGTGCTGGGAGATGGGCACCCTGTCGCCGCTGCCGGAGACAACGTAGTCGCGGGACGGCGGCGCGGCGAGGACGGTGTGGATGGTCTGGTCGCGCCCTCGTCGCGCGTTCCGGCTCCAGCTCGTCCACCCTCGCCGGCGTGAAAGGGTACGTGTCGGCGCCGTGCTCGGCGATCAGCTCCACACCACACTCCGTGACGGCCTCGCCGGTCGTCGCCTCGAGGACGACGACGAGGCGCGGCACTTCGCCCGCGGCGTTGAACCGCGCGACGAGGGCGCGCCGGCGCTCGGAGTCGGAGAACGGGACGGCGTGCCACGCGAGGTGCGCGTCGAACGACTCCTCACCGTCGTCGCACGAGACGAGGACGATCTCGAAGCTCCGCGCCGTCGTCCGAACACTCTCTCTCCTCGTCGCCTTCCTTATTACCGATGATCTAGCGAGTGATCAGCGTGTGATTGCGTGAGGTTGCTGAAATAATTTTCTGGTCGTCCTATGAACATTTGCCAAGAAATTGGGTGAGGTGGAAACTGCTAAGCTAAGCACGGGTCAGCGAGAGGAAGGATACAGTTTTAAATAACAAAAGATGGAAGAAATTGATGGGTGAGAAGATAATCAAAATAAGTAGGTTCAGATCTTAATTATGGCGCCAGTGATTTATGATCAGATGTTCTTGTCTGAACAATGACAACAGATGGCGGGTCCAAGTCCTCAAGTCTCTGAACAATGGCTTACACGCGCAAGTGCATTATAAGAGAGCGTGGTAGAGACACCTCCTAAAAGCCATTAGTCAAACAGACTCGACGATGAACCTGACAAAAGGATTACTGTTATCACCTTGTGGATTAACAGTTTCACGAACAACATTTAGCACAAGTGTGTTTTTTTTTCCGGTTGAGGAACATTTAGATTTGGGACTGTCTAGACATCTGTCGTGTGATTTTTAAGAAAAAATCATCCAAATTTTTTCTCCCCTCAGATCTGCATCCAACGGTATAAAAAAAAACAGTACAGATAAACCGTCCAGGTAGCCTGTGATTGTGCATGTTAGTACAGTAGTATTCAGTAAAGATTAACACAAATGTTACATTTATAACTAAAATTACAGTGTTTTATAACTAAAATTACATTTGTAAAAACAGTAGATATGACATGTAAGTACACTGTAATTTTAGTATAAGTGCACTGTAGATTTTGTTAACTAGAATATTTGTCGTTTTAGTACAAATACATTGCTTGAGAAACCGTGCAGATATCTGAAGTGTTAAATGTTGCATTTATAACTAAATTACAGTGCTTTATAACTAAAATTACATTTGTAAAAATAGTAGATATGACATGTAAGTGCACTGTATTTTCAGTACAAGTGTATTGTAATTTTAGTACAAAGTGCACTGTAAATTTTGGTAAAGAAAGAAATAGAGCGAAGAAATAAATAGCTACTGATATGCGTGATGTACAGAAATCCATCAATACAAAGTCAGGTTGACTCGGTCATGGACTCAACTGACCCTGCTTTTGCGCAAATCTTGGAAAAACATCGTGCGGCTAGAAAAACGTCAAATCCTATGAAAAAAATCACCCGACAAATATTTAGCAAAATCGTTTAGATTTTGCACAAAGTAACATGTAATTTGGGCCACAAATGCCTTTGTAGTAAATGGGCCGTGAGCCCGTGAACCAAAATTCATGCTTTGGCTCAATTGACGTCAACTAATCGTCCTGAGACCTGAAGAGGTGAGACTGTCAGCTGAAAAGATGAAAAGGGCTGGCTATTACAGAATAGTAGTAACAAACAAGCAACCGGCCTAGAATTCCACTACAATTTTAACTTGAACCCGGTGAGCAATGTGAAATGTGAACACCCTTACAGAAAAACCGACCGTAGTCAAAACTGAGCTAAGGTTGTACATATATATACGCTTCTTGATCTCTATAACCTGAAGAAAGATAAGCTTTTAAGTCGCAGAACAGAACTACATACAACATTCATGCTATTTTCACGCTTCAAGGCTGTAATAACAAGCAGATCAAGACAACTACCAATCCGCAATCGTAATTACACACGATTTTGCACACATTAATCCAAACCCAGCTCATTTTAATATCCACAAATACCAATGTATCATCCAGCCCAAACATATTATAAGCAAAACCAGGAGACGATTGTTTTATTATACTCATCACATAGGATTCACATCCCAAACATTCAGGCACGATTCAACCGGCACAGAGATAAAAAGAAGCCAGGGGAAACAAAACAACTCCTTTAGACCTTTCTGCAGACGTCTCCCTCGCACACATACCCAGCGGGGGCAGCCTCAGCATTCTCCTCTCCCATCTCCACATCGCCCTTCTCCTCCAGCGCGCACTTGGGATGCAGATCGAAGTCACATTCCTTGCACCTGTAGGACCATGAGTCGCCCATCTCGTCGCATCCATCGCAGCCATACGTGGTGCAGCGAGTCAGCACAAGCTCATGATCGTGCAGATCATGCTTTAGCTTCTCAGGCCACCCCTTTGCCATGTCATTGATCTTCTTCTCCTTCTCCTTCTCCAGCTCCTGAAGCTTCTCCTCGGTGAATGGAAAAGCGTCGGCGCCATGGGCCACCAGTGGGGTCTTCGCATCTTTGGTCACTGTCTTCCCATCAGGACCAATGGCGACAAGCGAAGGGATCCCAGTGATTTTGAAGATCTTACTCAATTGTTGCTTCCTTTCGTCTCCCAAAGGAAGAGCAAGCCATGGCATGCCAGAGAAGAACTCATCGTAGGAACTCTGCTCTCGATCGCTAGAAATAAATACGATCTCAAAATCATTGTGCTTCTCCTTGATCTTGTTGTATTCGTTTACAAGTTTAGGCAGGAAGGCTCGGCATGGAGGGCACCATTTAGCTGAAAAGTAGAGGAGGACAGTCTTCCCAACAAGTTCTGATACAGGAACCTTCACATTAAAAAGCAGATGTTAATCTTCATGTACTAATCACACATTCAGATAGGTAAATAACACATCAGAGTGTAGGCGAAAATGTGCAAGAATCTACAATGAAGTCATTATAACATCTTTCTTTTGGAGCACTGCCGTTCATATTGCCATTCTCCGGGACTTACGATTGTAGCATATAATATTCTCTCATATGTAAAGTTACATCCTCGATCTATGGGAACATTAAGATGGGAACAGGATTTCGGACTTAATTTTCCTTGTTACAAGGCATTAACAGTACAATACATGCATTCAGTAAAAAAAATAAAAAATAGTACTCCGTATTACCTATGGAGCATGGGAAGTCATGATATGAAAAGTTTGTGTGCTTTGGTACAATTAACAGAATTTAGGTCCCAACGCTAAAATCAAGAAAGAGTATATCTAATGACTTCAAGCGACAAGTTCAGATGCTGTCATACTCATTAAAATTGATCATAACGGCTAAATATACTCCAATGTTGTCTGTAACAAGCATAATTTACCTAAGTTACTGCATAACGGGATTAACTTTGATACAATTTTCCAAGTCGCAAAAAAGAGATCTTAATCAATGATACCAGGCATAACAATCTACAAACATACCTTTGCCCCATCTTTCCCAAGGACAAAGTCCAAATCACCAGTGACCAGAAGGGACTCCAGGGTCTGTGATTCTGCTTTAGCTTTTGCCTTCTCAGCAAGAATTTCGAGCTTCTCTGCACTGAAAGGAAAACCTTCCCATGCATCTGGACCATGCTCATCAATTATGTCAGCAATATCGTCATTCAGTGTCTTCCCATCAGGACCAATCAGGACAAGCATAGGAAGGCCACTGAGCTCAAAATAACGAGCCAGCTTCTCACACATCTTATCTCCCTGAGGAATGGCAAGCCAAGGCATGTCTGCAAAACTCTCATTGAATGATTCCTCATCACCGTCCAATGATACCATTACAACTTCAAACTTCTCCCCAACTGCTTTAAGTTTTTCATATATTTTGGCAAGCACTGAGGTGAATTGAACAACTGGACCATAGCCATTCACCACAAAGCACAAACCAACATACTTGCCTTCGAGGTCAGAGATGGGCACCTGGGTACCATCAACAAGAAGAAAACAGCTAAGAATGTCTGGATCTGCAAAATCATGTAAAAGACAATAAAGAACTGTCATCGATCAGTTACCTTGTCTCCCTTGTTGGTGATTAAGTAGTCGCGGGTGGGTGTACCAAACAGACTATGAATAGTTTGATTATCTTTAGCTGCCTTTTCCTGTTCCTTCAATTCATTGATCCTCTCTGTTGTAAAAGGGTAAGCTTCTGTACCATACTCATGCACAAGCTCCACTCCATCTTCAGTGTAAATTTCACCAGATTTTGCATCAAGGATTACAAGGTGTGGAATACCCATCACCTTATAGCGTTCATTAAGCTTGGCGAGAGCCTCGGAGTCTGAGAAGGGGACTGCCAACCAAGGCATCTTTGCAAAGTAGGCATTGAATGCGTCTTGATCACTATCCCCTGAAACAAAGACAACCTCAAAGCTCTTTCCCTGGGAGACCAGCTCATTGTATGCTTCAATAAGCTTAGGCGTGAAGCGCCTGCATGGTGGGCACCATGAGGCCGAGAAGTAGAGGGCCACTGTGCTTGCCTTGATGCTACTGATCTTGACCTGCAGGACAATAAGGCCTTGAGCAAACAAACTTTGGTGGTGTAGAACAAATTAGTCCTACTCATATTGATTTCACACAAGACATGATTGTTTTCGCATATTTTGCGATTTTCATAGAGGCAGAGCTAAGTTGTTTAGTACTATGTGTGGTGGAATCGAACTTTGCCACATTCCATCACTTTTTGATGAACTCTACTATACATTTCACACCATGTCTTTTTCAACAAAAGGAAAGAAAAGAACAAACTCACTCCCCCTTCATTTCTCTACTGTTTGTGACAAGAAAATACGGCACCAAGCCTGAACTAAGTATGCTTGCTGGACTGAACAGGAAATACGGACATAATACTAACAGTACTAAATTTTTGTAAACATGTTCAATTAATTGTTATCTGCAATTATGCCGAAGACTAATTAGTGATTTCTTAGACACAAGCAAACGCAATCAATCGTCAATCGACCCCACATGGACACGGAAAACCCCTGATCACACTAGCACGGTACAGACTACAGACTGACAACCACCACTTCTAGTCGCCCCCACAAATTCACACACGATCGAGAAGAAACAAGGACGCGTCACGCACGCACGGTACGGTCGATCGGGGGCGAGCATCAAACAAAGAAAGCGCACAATCGCAGATTCGCAGTAGCAAAGCAAAGCAAATCCGCAAGAGCAAAAGAGAGGGGGGAGGAGGAAAAGAAGAGGGAGTGGTCGACCTTGTCGGCGGAGTTGCGGAGGAGGAAGTCCCTGCCGTCGGCGGAGGCGAGGATGGTGGCGACGCCGCCATCGGCGGCGGCGTGCGTGGCGTCCGCCATCCCGGGTGGAGAGTGGAGCGGAGTTGAGGAGTAGAAAAGCAAAGGGAGGGGGATTCGGGGTGTGGTCGGCGGAAGGAGAGGAGTGGGAGGGGTGGGGTTTATATAGGGAGCGGAGAGAGGCGCGGCGGAAGCGACGGGTCGGATCGGATGGATGGATGGAGATGTCGTCGGCGTTTACTTGGGCGGTGGCCCAACCCCCTCTCCCCTGCTTTTCCTTAGCACGCAAGATTGTGAGAGACTTTGGGGGGAGGATAGCCAGTTGGCATTTGGATTGTACAATATCCTGGGCGTATAGGATTCCACGATTTGTTTTCTAAAAAAATAATTCTTGCATGCGTGGTTATGGTGGCACTGGTAGGTAGGCTCGTTCTCGTAATTACACACATTACTTACACCTCAATTTTTATTAGCACGCTTTTTAAACTGCTATACAATACTTAGTCTGAACAAAATCTACACCTATATATTTAGAAGTTGCTTTACAACATTAAATAAAATTCATATTTTAAGTTTAAAAATAATTAAAACTCAATTAATCATATTTAGTTAATCTTGAGCAAGTTTATTCTTCATTGCCATCCCATGCATTTTCACTGGCTGAGTTCTTTTCAAAACTTTCCCAACTCGCATTCCTCATTTTCCGCGCGCACGTTTTTCAAACTGCTAAACAGCACATTTTTTTTTCAAAAAATTTTCTATACGAAAGTTGCTTTAAAAATCATATTAATTCTTTTTTTAAAAATAGTAAATACTTAATTAGTCTTAAGAAAATACGTCGCTATGTTTTGCGTGCGCAGGAAATGAGGTTCCGATCATTGGGATCCAAAATACACATTTCTTTCTATCTTGGGAAATAATCAGTCGCGGATCTAGAATTTTTTATGAGCGTGAGCGAGCCTTACAATAAATTATAAAGTATACTCAATTCTATGCAAATATATAGATTGTTTTGGGTTGAGCATTTGCTTTCTTAGTTTGTTCTAAGCATGTTAATTAACTATGTACACTATACTCCTGCTTCTCCCAATGACAATAGCAAAAGTAAGGGTCTGTTTGGCACAGCTCCAGCTCCACCTCCACCTCTCCTGGAGCTGGAGCTTAGCCAAACAGTTTCAGCTCCACCTAAAATGGGAGCAGAGCTGGATGGAGCTGGAGCAGCTCTCTCACAAAATGACTCCATTACATACCCAATTCCTGGAGCTAAATTTAGGAGTTGGAACTCTACCAAACAGGCCCTAATTAGGATTAATTTATTGGGGGCATGACTGTATGCTAGCCGGCGGAGACCGGGCAACTGCCTGCGCTAGCCGCTGTGTTCATGGGGAGGTGAAAGTGAGTTTGTTTGTTTCATTTTCCGCGTGCATACTTCCCGAACTACTAAACATAATATTTTTTTAACAAAAATGTTCTATATGAAATTTGCTTTAAAATCCATTTTTGAAGTTTAAAATAGTTAATACTTAATTAATTATGTACTAATGGCTCACCTTGTTTTGCGTATCTTCTCAATCTTCTCTTTTCCTCTCCTCTCAAACTCATACAAGAGTAAATTGTATCGGTGATACACAAACTTGTTAGGTGTGTGCAATTTAGTATATAAACTTATAAACTGCTTGTTTCGCTCCATGAATTTGTCTAGTCTGTGTGAAACAGAACCAAATTGGCTTGACAATGTTAATTTTACGAAGATTATGTTGATTACGATGTAATGTGCATACGTTTAGTGAGTATATATGCACAAAACATGCTATATTTAGACATTTTTATAAATTTTCTCTCTACTTTATTCTTCAATGGAAATGATGAATTCTATATGTTTCTAATGATTTTCCAATCTTTTTCTACGATAACTATATCTCATTCTATCATTTTATTGAAAGATGTATATCTAATAGCAACCTTCATATATATATATATATATATATATATATATATATATATATATATATATATATATATGTTCATGTAGTATCCTAAATTCAACCCTTAAATCAAGAAGATTAGTCATGTGGTATCTTTTTTTTTCTTTCGCAACACGTATTCACGTAATAAGTTTGTGTACCATCGATACAATTTAATCAAACAATAAAGTCCTAAATGTATGATCATCCGGTACACTTTGCAGAGTGCAACTGTGCAACCATGTGGTCGATGGGTAGTTTGTCACGTGTGTGTATGAACTTCATTAGCCACTAGCCCAATACTTGCAGGTGAGTCAAGTCTTCCTTGGTCTTTCTTTCTCTCTCTGTTTTTTTTTTTTGGCTGCTTCCACTCGTCTTAAACGGCGCAAGGACGGTTTCGAGGCATATTCCGCGTAAATATGCTCGCCCGGCCGTGTACAATGTCCTGCGAGTCTGGTTCTACAATTGCTCCTACGGCTTCAGAGTACGAAGTATAAGAACAAGGCAAGACCGCAAGATACGTACTATACATAAGTATTTTACAGATGATTATGCTATTACTACTCGCATACATGCATGTGCATAGGAGTATATTTTATACTGGCAACTACTCAGGCTGTTTTCTTTTATTTATGTTTTGTTTTCTATTTACTTTTTAGAAACTTGGTCTTTAATATATAATATATCTGTTTTTTAATAGATGACACTATTATTTTTTTATCACACATTTGTTATGAGTTGTTTTATCGCTAAAAGTATTTAAACATGATTTTTATCTTATACATTTACATAAAATTTTTAAATAAGACGAAAGTCAACAGAGTCATCTATTAAAAAACGAAGGAATTACTTTACTCTTTTGTTAATCATATTCTCCATTAGAACTAGTAAAAATAAAATTATTTGACGGGATTTCTTCCCCTGTGAGCAATCAACGAATATTGTTTATATTTATCTATGAAGAAGTCCAACTTTTTTCATATATTAGTATCGAGTGATGTCAAAATTTGATTGCAAACATGAGCTAGCTATAGTACCATTATTCACTGGGACGAACACATGGATTTTGTAATTATTTTTGTGATTGTTGTATAGTTTCATAAAAAAATGTTTTTTTAGATAATTTTGTTATGGTGTGATCCTTGTATGTATGTTCTGAACAACCTTTTCTCTCCTTCCCTCGAGGGGTCTATTAAGTTATCTTGCATATTTATTGAATCTACATATGAGGGGGGATTTTTATGGTCCTTAACCTTTACTTAGATGTACTATTTTTTTTACGTGTATATGGTACCTCTGGATACTTGAGTTATTAAAATATAAAAAAATATACGCTAAACCTCTTGATACCTACTCAAACTGTAAAATCACTCACTCCTTTTTCTAGTTAATTTTTTAAGTGTGTTTTGGTAAGGTTGGGATGAACTATAGCGTAGTGTCTGGTATCTCTGTAATTCTGTAAAGGGACATTTTGGAGAAAATTATATATACATCCTTCGATCAAAAAAGAAGATCGAGAACCATGACTCGATTCCTACTCATCACTTCATCAGCGTCGAAATTTTGGGCGGCTGGCCCTGCTGACGTCAACGCAGCAGATACGGTGCTTGTTATCTAGTAGTTGGTGCTAATTAACCTTAGCACAAGCAAATCTTTTTGACCAACCGGCTTAATAAAGTTGGGAATTTGGGATTGGTAAAGGAAAGTATAACGCTCTACGTAACTAGCTATATGCTAATTAACCTTAGCTGTATGTATAAAGTCGCTAATGCCGCTACTTCACTTATCCAAGCCATGTTCTTCAATAACGCCGGTCCGAGTACACTTGATGCTGCCGAAATCTTCGACAAGCTGAGAGTCGCTCCGGATACTTACTTCAAGAACATTAAAGAAGCTGGAAGTATGGGAGCAAGTCTGGCATTGGCGATGACCAAATCCCTTTATCCAAGAGTTGACATTGATGCCATTGATGGCTTTGCAGACGGAACGAGCGAAGAAGCTGCTCTTGACCTCATCAATGATGCGCAAAAAGCCGCTGACAAGATTGCTGCTGACGTGGTTGAGAGATTCCAAGATGTTGACTTTCGGCCGACTGGGTCTGATAATTCTGATGATGAAAAAACTGATACTGATTGATACAACAATGATTTTGATGATTAATGATGATGGAGGCTCAATTTGTACAATACTGATAAATTTATGCTATGCTTAGTGTTCCATACTTAGCTTCTGATTTCTTAAAAGCCTTTGTCAAGCCTTATTGAGCCTAAAACCCGCAAAAGCTTATTAAAAACCTTCAGTCCTCATTGACTAAGTCGAAAGACCAAGCAGAGCAATGATAAATCAAGTAAGCAAATTGAATTGATAAAAATCACACTCCATTATTATCATGGTAGCCCCTCGACTGAAAACTTCAAGGAAAAGCTTGAAATTAGCAGTCAAAGAGAAAAGATACAAACGAAATGCCTAAGCATAAAATCGACGAAGGTGTTCAATATTCCAAGAATTGTTGATAAGAGTACCATCTTCGCGCTTGAGTCGATAAGAACCTGGCCGAGTGACTTCAGCAATTATGAACGGTCCTTCCCACAAGGGAGATAATTTATGCCGATCCTGTGTGGTTTGAATTTTCCTCAGAACCAGGTCGTCGACTAAAAAGGCTCGCGATCGAACATTCCGATTATGATAACGGCGCAACCCTTGCAAATACCGAGTCGACTGAATTAAAGCTGCTTCACGGGCTTTTTCTAGTCGATTGATGTCGTCTACTCGGCCTTCTTCATAGCGTTCCTCGTTGAAGTTTTGAAATCGTAGTGATTCAAATTCCACTTCACTCGGCAACATTGTTTCTGCACCATAAACAAAAAAAAACGGCGACTGGCTGGTAGCCCGACTGGGAGTAGTGCGTAAAGACCAAAGTACGGACGGCAGCTAATCTACCCACTTGCCAGCATAGGGACGTAGTCGGTCGAAAACTCGTGCTTTTATCCCTTGAAGTACCATGCCATTGGCACGCTCGACTTGTCCATTACTCATGGAGTGTGCCACGGAGGCATAGCAAATTTTAATGCCGAAGTCTTCACAAAAGTCTTTAAATGCTCCGCCAGTGAATTGAATGCCATTATCAGTGATGATCCGATTAGGTACCCCAAACCGATGCACAATGTTGATGAAAAAATCTCTAGCTTT